TATATATTATTTGTACGTATTTCGAGTTACGAAAAAATCATTAAATTGTAAATAACTTGTAATTTTATATTCCATTGACATAAAATCTTACAATATAAGCGAGAACTTATGGAGTTACTGCATTTAGTAACTAGTATATGGAGGGCACGTACCAGGATTGCAGTCGGTCAGAAGCGAACAAATGGAGAGTAGCACCTTAGAAATTGTGAGCGCTGGCGACCAATTGTCCTTAAGTATATCTAGGCAGATAACGCCTTGTGAATTTATGTTACAATGATAAATACGTGTTCGAAATGTCACCTGAAAATTCATTAAAGTCAAAATATGTTATTAATTACGTTAAACAAAGGGAACGGTAACAAAGGACCTTACCATGTTACGCACATGAGTTAGATTTTTGTCGACTTCTCAAAACTTTTAGATTAGAAAACGAGGCATTTTGAATATAATTGATAAGGGTATATAAAATGACAGGAAACACTTTTTGTGAAATATTGCATTTAGCATAATATTATTTGAAGTACAAAAAAAAGGTTCTTTAGTAAGCTAACTAATATTCCAATTTTAGCTCACACTAGGCATAAAGATGAACATTGCAAAAGTGTATCATTCGACAGCTACAATTATGTTTCATCACTCTCAATAGCACGATTAGCATTTGCAAGTGCGTATTTAATTAGGAGATCATAACAGCGCAAACCCAAGGCACTTTGAATCTTCGGCTCACATCACGGTAAACCGATCAGTAGTGTTCCACACACCAAGGCCTGCTTGCAAAGTGCTTACCAGTGTTTCAACTTGAGCCTAAAAGAGGTCCATTTTAGTTTCACAATTGGTTTTGTATATTAAATTACACATGCAAGAGAAAGAAGTATTGTTCCGCGTAACCATAATACCTCGATTTCGAAAATTAAATTTTCTAGACCGAACATGAACATTCATTAAATTAAAGCAAACTTGTTTTGGCACATACCTTCGGTGGCTTAAAAGGATATTCAGGTGTGAAATGGATGTCGAGAAAGAAACATCCTCCTTCATACACTGAACCTGGAATGTAGACGAAATCAAACAAGAAGCAGTGCTGAGTTCTTATTAATCACTATTACTGTTTAGTAATTGCTCGCAAATCGAAAAAGTACCCTCTGTCATCGAAAAATTAATTATTTAAAAACAGCAACCGTGTAAAGGTTTACAGCCTCGCCGTGCAATTTTGAACTGTATTTTATTTTGCCATAAAAACCAAACTTATGAATTTACCCTCTGCGTCTATGAAAAGACCCTCACCTTAACATGTTTTAGTTAAATCTTACGCCTTCTAAATGTCACATTTTCTATAGACTTGCGTGAAACAACACAGGAAGACTGTAGGGATTCTTGAGTTCGCGTGAAATTGTATTTTTCAATTTATTATATAATAAATTTTCCTGGACTTAAAATTCACTTTCTTTCAGACATTAGTGCACCGTACTATTATTAAAACGATATTGAATAGTTAACCTAACCGTTGCTAGTTTATGATGACGGTTAGGTCAACCATCCAACCAATGGACGTATTGTATATAACGTGTTCCTGAATGAGCACTTATAAACGTGGCATTTGCGAACACATGTATTCAAATTTGTGATAGCAACAAGCGGCAATAAACATATGGCGCTTTTGTGCTTGTACCGCTCCACAATTAAACATACCAGGAGGCCCAAGTATAGTAGAGACCCATTCATACAGGTTATCTGCCTTTGGGCCCGCGCTGCAATTTGGAGGAGGGTCTAATGTAATTTCAGCTAACTCCTGAAATAATCGTTTCAACAGTACATCGTTAGATATAAACGAATTTACGTTTTATATACTTGCTGACGCCAACGCAAACAGAGTCTATATATTCGCCATGTGGTAATTATAAAATAATTCCATGCTGTCCAGGTTTACAGAAGTTATTAAACCCTTACGTGGAAAAGTTTAGAAGATGTGAAACTCATCTTTGCATAGGAGCGTTATTTATCAGTGAGTTCATATTTTCTAGCCATTTTTTTTTGCGGAAAAGTTTAGAAGATGTGAAATTAATCTTTGCATAGAAGCGTTATTTATCAGTGAGTTCATATTTTCTAGCCATTTTTTTTTACTGAAAAGCTGAGTTCCTCCGTTCCTTGTATTAAGTGGGTTCGTCGTTGTGCCCTCGTTTAATTTTTTAGTCGGTCGATCTCAAAAACTATGAATAAAAACAAAATTAAGGTGGTCGAGTAGGTTCCGCGTGAAAGTACAGGGAAAGAGACAACGCGTTGTGGGCAAAAAATTTCAACGCCTTAAATAAACCTGAATTGTTGATACCTACCAGCTAACAGCCTTAGAGAGAATCCATCCATCTCAAAAATGGCAAGAGCCCGTTGCTAGTACGAAACCCACGAAGCCGACATAGAATTTTCCGAATTTCTGTTGTTATCGACCATGGTATGGTCCAAATGTAATAACAAGCTTACAAAAATATTTTAATATATATAAAGCGCACATTTATAGTAAGTATTAACTCAAGTTAGACGACTGACCCTAGCCATTTACATTTCATGAAGAAAATGATAGAGGATGAAAATGCCCACGTACCCTTTTATCATTCGCAAGTTGAAACAGAGATACAATTTAAAAGTGAGACTGGAAATATATTATATTACTGAAAATATAAATTAACTGCATCCTTGAAATTACAATACTATCCTTGGCAATTAATACAGACGTTTTATTTCATTTTATACAATAACGATGAATATATTTGTGATTTGAAATTCCAATTACGAGTTTTAAAAGAGTACGTTTCATAGATTTCTAACAACCATATAGATTCGTCGTATATTTTGAAAATGATTTATGCAAATGCTCAATCATACGCAGTACAAAATAAATACCTACGATTGTATCATAATTGTCTTAGTATTAAACAATACAGTTATATCTGTACAATACAATTATGAAATAGCTTCGATATACAAAAGGCTAACATGAATAAATAATTCCACTCAGCACAAGGTCATTAAATTCTTGCTTATTGTGGGCTTTCGTTGAAAAGTAATTACTTAATAAAAGGCGAGCTTTGGATATAACCCAATAGTTACCTTTTGTATGCGCTTAGCGGATGTAGACAGGGCTTTAGACATTTTGGGGTTGAGTCTAGCCCCAGTTTCACGTCCATTTGAATCCTTTCCGCTGTCTTGTTGGGAACCAGATCCCGAGCTCGAACGACCTGAGCGAGAGCCCGAAGGGCCTGCGCTACCTGACATCGCGTGCTCCCTCACAACAATTAACAGACTCACAAAATGCTGCTACTTCCAGTCCCGCGTTAAATCGCCTCGACCGCGCTAACACAGCGCTCCACTCTGGATCACCCGCGTGCCGGCTCAAAAATTTCTATTTTCCTGGGGGCTTTTGTATGTCTTCTGTAATAAATGAGCACAGTAGTGGCAAAGATATTTCCAGGGTCACAATATGAAGAATCAATCTGCATGCGAGTGGTGTGGGCCAAACAACCGACAAATCTCTTATACTATTTAATGAAGTCGTTATAATCGAAACGTCTAACGTCAGTGCACTTCTCACTGCCAGCAGAATCAGTTCAGTATGAATAGAGACATCGAATATTCAGTTATTGGGTACCGACTGTAATATACGCAAGTTTCTCCGGCACGTGTAAAACTTATACAAAATTAACGTTCTATTGTTTCGCTTGAAAAAAAGTCATCGCCAGGGTTAGTTTATATTTGCCATTATGCAATTTGTTACTTTGTTTTTATAGACTTCGAAGGCGCGTCAAATGAAACTTTGATTCTTCGTAAGTACATCAACTCCAGGATTCCAATCGCCATTCCTGAATCCAGTCTTCCTCAAGCACAGGAAAGTAAAAACTGAGTAATAATAATAACATAAGAAATAGTTTTGCTTCACCTACACAAAGCTTTTAATAGGATTTTATGTGTGAATCTTTTTTTGTCATAAAATTAACTATACGGGTCAAATAATTTCGATACCTCAACAGCATTCCATTCCCTGTGCTTTGCTGTAATCTCTGCAGATTCTCTAATCAGACATTCGACGTTTATGATGTGGAAGCAGATGACCTAACTAAAACCCAGCAATTATGGGTGAATCATACCACAGGTCACGCTAGCCGATTTCCATTTGTACATGTTTTTATATTGTTAATCAATCCAAGAACATGCACAAATGTTAAGTAATGTCCGAACCATGCTTAAAACTCCTCCCTCGAAGCAAGCTTGGGTTTCCTTTATCGTGGAACATTTTCCCTAAATCCTAAGGTTCTTAAAAAAAACTACCTTTGGATAACCTACAAGCACGGGAATTAGACTAACTTTTTTTTGTTTAATAAAACTTGCAAATTGATTTAAATCGAAACGAGAAGTGCGCTAAGCACTCAGTTTAAAAATACCATAAATAGAAGCCCTATAAATGATATTTTTCCACGACTTGTAAGTAGCTGCATTAATACAAACTTTGTTTGCAAAATTATTATCTTGTTATATTAATGGGTTGCAGTAGTTCACTAAACCATTCACTTCAAGTACTTGCAATGTAATTGTAGATACTTGCAAGGAAGTGTTGTGTCTATAAATAATGTGCTTACAGTGCTATACCATACTCTGTGACCACCTCTAGCAGCAGAGCATACATTCATGAATGAACTAAATGATCACGAAGAATCAACTAAAAGTGGCAAGCTCACACTAATAATGTTACGAGAAGCATCAAATCTCAAATAGGCTTGAAGCACGATTGATCATAACAATCTATACGTATATTTACATATGTTTGTTATTTAATTCCAGATTTTAGAGTTGTTTGTCTTGTTTCTCCTCAAAGAAATTCAGCGAATTTAGGATAGAAGCAACTTCTCTTCCAACAGTAATCTCAAAGGTACGCAACTTTGGGATCGCTATTCTGTTTGTTCAACCAGGTAAAAATAATAATATATCATGCTTTATATTTTTAAATCTTCACATATATTTTTGTTCCTGATAGGTGCTTTGAAAATAGCAGTTTTAACTTGAAGTGAAATTAGCGTAAATTTTGGGATTGAAACGGCAAACGCCAAAGAAACTGCTTAAGCTATCATTGCCCAGTTGGTAAAATAGAAAATCTGGTCCCGTATGACGATTAGTATGAGTTAGACCCCGACACCTTTTCCCACTTTGTACAAAGTACAGCGTTCATCATTCTATAATTTTCTCAATTGCTTTGTTGAACGAGCGATGTAGGTGTATCCTCTGTCGGCTGACGTTACAAAATTACCATGTTGTGGCACTTTTGGTACAGTAAGACCCTAAAAACAAAGCGATCACATGACACTGATTAAATAACAAAATACAGTGCTTAAAGATATTATATTCTATGATTTCAAAGAGATTTTAGATTGCGGTTCGATATATTAGCTTCGTACCACCCATCGCCGGATTGGATTTATAATATAATATGTAAGTGCACAGATATCAAATTCAGTGTATGTAAATGAACGCTTTATTAACTGAAACAAAAATAATCAATAGTTACGTACTCGGGCGCCTCACTATCGCTAGCCCAATTGATTAACTGTGCAATACGTAATAAGAAGCATTTCGCAGGGCCAGACAAAAAAAACTACTTTTAATAAAGGTTATTCTATTTTTTTCGGGTTATTATAACCGTATCTTGTATATAAACCCAATCAATTTAGACTACAAACACTATAACGAATTTCTCGTATTCTCACACTTACTTTGCACTTATTCTTTTTATTTAAGACCAACCATTTCATAGGGTGCCCCACAAGCAGCAATAGAGAGCAGCCTCGAGCCAAATTGAGCCGTCAGCGACGACCATATTTCCAACTTAAGCCAGCGCCGCAGCCTGCTTTTCCTCCACTTCAAATTCTCAAAAATGTACATTAAAATCAACGTATGCCTATTCTATATGCGTATTTCAATAAAAGGATATTTTAACAAATAGTAAGAGTTACTACGCATGTAATTGAAACACAAAATTCCAAGGAAAATCCAAAACACGCCTGACTCACAGTTGATGCCAATCGACTATCATGCGCATCGCATTTGTGCGAAAAAAGCGAAAACTGGACACAGTTGTTTCGTTAAAGGTGGTACGATACTCACCCTGTGTTGCGCAGTCGTAATGGGTTGAGCTTGTAACCAAATTTACGTTTCCGAGTGATTGAAACCCCTCAAAAACCACAGGTCGGCCTCATTCAACAAACCCGGACGACCAGAGTCCTCGATGCACACACAAGCCGACCAATAGACGACCATTACCGCAGAAGCTCCGAATTTCGTCTGCGGCTTTGATTCAAACATTTCTAGCGAACTCGAGGCGCGAAATTTTAATTTGACAACTGGACCTTTACTACTAAGTGGTTTACTTTCGAGTATAAAGGCGCCTCAGGTAACCAAGTTTACTTGTACATATTGACGCACTTTTCTTTACTCGCTACTTCTGGAAAATATTTTACTATACGAAATAATAATAAATAATATAATTTATTGGAGTTAGATGAATTACCGATTGTTTATTTGTTTACTATGGCTTGTTTACAGTATAGAAGAGAGATTCCGCTTGGAGTGTCGTCTGTCCTAATTTATAGAAGGATACGCTAAAACAATACAATGGGATTACTTTTTGCGGTTTTCTTTTTTTACGTATTATGTCTGTGATAATATTTGTGTGCTAATATAAAGAGTAGGTTTGGTCAAAGCGTCGTTTTTTAAGAAAATATTTAACAAATGTGACTTAAGATCACTAGGAACTGTTCGTGTATTTTATGTGAAAACCCTATTTGCGAAACGGTAGCAAAATTATTTTTAGAGCCAAATTTTAGGCTATAGTAATCATAATCGATTCCTTTATTTCTCTTGTCATGTTTCTCATAAATATGGAAAATAGTTGATGTGAGGAAACATCATTACGTGCACACACCTATCAACAACGTTTGTATGTTTAAGGCAAGTAAAACTCAGCTAACAATATTTTGGCTATTGTGTGTTATTTGTGCATTGGTTTTTATACTCACTATTTATAGTGTTTTTATTATGCATAAGACTAAACTCACATAATAATGACTTCAACATTTGTAAATATATCATATTTTTTTCATAATTTAATTATTTTTCGCAACTAAGTATTTCTAACGTACATATTTTTCATGAAAATACATTGATAAATCAATTTGGCGTGCTAATGATGAATATACAAATATATAATTTTTTTGGCACCTAAACAAATATATAATTTGTTTAGGTGCCAAAAGGTTTACAGACTACGAACGGATGTGGTACTAATCTTACAGTATAACGGATATGGCTGAGTTCAATGATGAAGTGGAGTTCGGCGCGATCTCAGAAGATGAAAAACGACTTGCCGCGGAAGCCTTAAATGCATTCAGGGACGGTGATACCTCAAACACTTTATCAAAACTCAACCAGCTTCGGGAAAAACGCCCAAAAGATGTAAAGGTTTTACACAATTAGTGAGTAACGACCGTCGCTAGCGTTCCAATATATCGTTATATGAATGATGTATTGTTCGTATATCTACAGAAAAGATATCCAAGGAGTGCCAAAAAAGGATATAGAAAAAAAGATTTTGTTTGATTCGTCAACCCTGTAGGTTTCCACGCTAAGCGCCTTGTTTTTACTAACATCGGTAGATTTATTATTTTTATTAAGGCAATGGAAGTATTATTATATCTATACAAATGGGTCTTTGATATTCTAGCCTGATCGCATCTTCTGAAACGCCGTCTTCTCTGCTGACATCACTCGAATCGCTAATTACATCGCCTGATTGTGATGAAGTGGATTCTTGTGTCACTTTACTCAACGTTGCATTACTTCATTTTCGTCAGCAGCGATTCCATCAAGCACAGGAACTTCTCGAAAAACTTATGATGTTTGTAGAACCCCTTGGAGAAGGTACATTATAGAGATATAGATGCTTAAGCACACGTTTTTTTTTTTACTAATCTAGCTTAAGTTACAAAACACCCCAATTTATAGAAAATATCATAAAGAGTCGAAATATATTTGCTCTTATTAGCTTTTGACTCTTAGAATCCCTGGTCTACCATAATTCCTCAACAATGTGTTTCTTCGAAAAGCTAATGGATATGTTACGCAATGTTATTTATCTTACACTGCTGTCCGTCATTCTGGAATGAATCTGAAAAGTAGCAAATACGTTCTAAGCTAATTATTTATATTTATGAAACAACCTAATCCAAAATTATCTGAATAGATTTTTACGCTAGAAAGCATTACCGTGGATCGTGTTTGCTAAAGCTATTCTAAATTTTAATTAAGGCGAGTTCTTAAGCGCCAGGCACCACTAAAAGCAGTCATTTGTATCTGAAAATGTTAAATTTAACGAGTAGTATTGCTTACATTTCAGCATTATATAGGGATGCGTTGTTTCTCTACATGGAGACCTGCCTAAAGCTTAACTATCCAGAAAAAGTGCCGAAACTAATAGCAACACTTGAAGGACTTTTGTTTGGCAGAGTAGTGACACCCAGATCTGGAAGTTCTTCGCCTCAGGAAAGTCGTGACAGAGGAGATAAAAACCTTGAATGGAAGCCAGTTGTCAACCAGTACCGGGTTAGGTATGTAAATATATACGTTTTCTCTAGCTAGCTCGAAAATCTATTAAATCCCTTTCGTTTAATATAATAATCCTTAATTATTAGTAAGGATGTGTCTCGAGCGATAGTCAGTACTAGTTTTTTCACAACATATGGTCTTTCATACTAAACTAGTCTATTTTTGCTTGATATACCACATACTAGAACACGCTTTAGGCAGACTGAGTTCACATGCTCTACTAGTTGCTTAACAGTCAAATATTCCTATCCAAGAAGTGCATAGAACGCTTCTTTTATGTAATAGGATAAGCGCCGTACTCGGGTAGACCTTCACGTTTCTCGGTCGTCGTTTCTTGTTCCAGCGTTGTTCGTACTCTCTGCTATAGGTACTCTACGAATGAAAATAGCCCACCAATTATCAAAGTTATTTCTAGATACCTGAAACGACTGATATGCTTAATCTCTATCTTTGAGTAGTAAAGGCGTTTTCAAATGCACATCTATTTTGCACCCTTATTTTCGTCTGCGCTATTAAAGCTCGCAATTGTTTTTCAGGGTTTGCAGCTGAGGCTGTCCGCTTATATCTTGAAAGCCTTTGAGGCATGTTTAGAACAGTGGAGGCTCCTAATATGGAAAAATAATCGGCATAAACGTATACGCAAACTTGGCCATGATGTTTCCTAATTACATTTGGAAGATGAGCATAAAGCTTTGATAGTCTCGGCCCTGCTTTTTGATTTGGCTAAATGAGTCGAGATGCCACTATTCATGATAATTTGTTAATATTTGAGTAAGTTTCGTAATAGATTGAGAATCCTTAACATTACTCCGGCGCGGCTTTGGCTTTAAGACGTCATATAACCGACCTAAATATCTGTTGGACTACAGCTATTAACGCTTGGGATATGTGCGTGCCCAGCTTGTGAGGGAACAGGGTATTATTGGTGCTGTTGTGGTGGTTATTTACAAAGAAGCTAATGGTACATAATTTCAAATACGATTTGTTTTCCACAGGTGTTTATTGGCACTTCGCAGTCTGAAGGCTTGCAAACGAGAAATAAAAAATCTTAATGGAGAGGATCGCGACAGTAAGGTATTTTCCCAATTCGTTAAATTTCTCTACCTAGAACTCAATTTAATATATAGTAATTTATACAACATGCCTTATATTTACAGAGTAAATGACAAGCTGGGCTCAAGTGTAATGCCCTAGTCGCTAGTTTTCTGACACATAATATCAGATTTGAAAATTTCCGTTGCATTTAGGATAATTCTTTGTCCAGCTAATACTCATTGCCATTTTTGTCGACTTCAATCAGTATGTTCTGGAATCGCTGATGAAAATATAATTGATACGTATTGGTCGCCATACTTTTCACAATGAGCTCCACTTCTTTCGCGTTTATGTATGGGTGCAATCATCTTCCTATATATATATTGGACTGTTACAAACCGATTCGACGAACTTCTAAATCGAATAACTTTAAACTAGTTGGGCTAAGATAATGATTTTTAATGCACAGACCTAAATCGGAAGAACAAGCGAGCTGAAGCCGTCGCCGGACATTTCTCTACCCAATCCAGGCAATAATTGAAACATGGCGATGAGGACTAGCGTTGTCATCAAGTAACTAGATTGCATGCTTTCTTTTTCAATGCAGTGGTCCGTGAGTCTCTTAGAAAACTTGAAGTAGCGGACTGCACTCATTGTTACATTTTCGGCGAGCATCTGATAATCGCAGATGTTTTTGATATCCATTGCAAGTGCTACCATCATCTTGCGTTCGAAACTCGACGCGGCTACCGACCTGATTTCTCTCCAAGATGATTATATTTTCGCGCTTGATCTTTCTCCGGCCGCCGGTGGAAGGTTAATTGTCTGGTTCATGGTTACCGTTGTATGCTTCAGTCGGATTCTTTGCTGATCAAAGTTCCGTAAATTGCATGTCAAATATATCACACGCATTCTCAACCGGCCTATCAGTTTCCGCATTCTCAGCATTTGGGTTATAATTCTATAACATATTACATGTAAAATTCCAATTTTGGCAGATAGAGCCCTTAAGCTCCAAGCTTTGAGAATACTCCTCGGTCGTGGCAATCGTTCTTGTCCTTCGAGCGCTAATTACTTGCTTAACATGCTAATCTCCATTAGTATAACATTTTCTTGCTTCATATTTTCATTAATCTTCAATGAATTTCCGTAGTGTTGTGACCTTCCAGGAAAAAAACTTGTCCACTAAGTGTTCGTTTTAATTTCAAATTAATTTTTTCTAGAGCAGACTTGAAACTTCTCAGTGAAAACCAGTTTTCACTCACAGGTTTTTAAAATACAGTAGTGTTTATGAGCTAAATTTCGTCCACTAAAGGCGTGTAGTTTAAAAATACGTTAATTTTAAAGTCCATCGGATTCTCTTGTAACGGCCTTACACATTTAAGCGGAAAATCAATCCATAACGCAATACTATATGTTATTATGCAAGTTTACAACTCCTATTTCCCAGCTATTTTTCAAAAAATTATATTATAAATATATATATATATATATATATATATATATATCGACCTCATATCGAATATTTTGATAAGCGATTTTTTTATCATAATGTATGTTTTTTTGGGAAAAATATATATATACAGAATATAATTGCGCGAACTTCTTTTGCGCAAAGGCAAAGCTTTTAGACATTGTCAAATATCATTTCAGTGCTGAACATGTTATTGTCTGTTTTGTTATTAATGCAACATTTGTGCATTACTTGTGTTATTGATATATATTATTTAGATTTATTTAAGGGAAGCATTATATAATGGTTAATAACAGGTGCCAGTTTTGCTGTACGCATAATATTAAGCTAGAAGGGAAGGTCTCTTAAAGCGTGCATGGACCACTATTATGTTCAAACCGGTATTTAATTTTGTTGTGCATTAGGGTAGGCAACATGTTTTTGAATATCATTAGTACGTTAAATGTCCGATTGGTTGTGTTAAAAAGTAGACTGTTACTTTTTTATATTTAGCATTTAAGTGCTTTGCAGCTTATAATATAATTCAAATAAAAATTCTTGACAAAAACGCCCGTTTGGGCTGATAAATGCGCTCATAACTAGTATACTTAACCATAACGATAGGTCATGTGATAATTAATTAATGAAAAAAATATCGCGTCCTCTGATAGCAGGTGCAACTAAAATTGGTCTCTTTAGTCATGTTTGGTGATTTACATGAAATCGAGCCATATTAATGAGATTTTATTTTTAGAAGTCGAATTATGGGTTTGTCTTGTGCTGAATGTATGTATTATGGGTTTTTTTTAGCCTAAACTAAGTCGAGGAATACATTTACCGTAGATAGAACTGATAGATCAATTGTACAGTATTTCTTTATCGATTGGACAGGATCAGGGCAGTTTTAGCGTGGCCATGTCCGCCTTTGTGCGCGCGCAGCTAGAGCAACAGCGAGACAGCGGAAAAAAGGCAGTTAAAATTTTAAGTACCTTACATGGAAAATCGATTCTAGGTACCAGACATCTTGCCACAATCTACTATAACAACATGGCTGCAATTCATTTCAAAGCAGGTTAGTAAAAATACACACTTCACAAATTTAAACTATTCAATGTTTTATATGGAGAAGCTCAGGAGGTTACCTCATTATAAAACACTATAAGGTTTTCAGAACGCGTCCGTGGTTCACATTTGAAAATAGGTTATAGCATAAAGGAACCTTCTTAAGTAATGGGCGAGTGTGGCATGAACGTGTTAGGATGCTGAATAAAGATGAAGTATAGAATGTTCAAAAAAACCATATTGTATTCTAATAAGCCTCGTCTTATATACATGTTAGAGCAGCTTTCTCAAGCTGCTGAACACTCTTAATATGCCCTTGTCGAGTATACTTAGATTAAAATCTGCATACACAAATGGGTTTTAGGGATGAGTAAACCTAACTGCTATGCCTGTAATATCGACCTAAGATAACAACATAATAAGTAGCGGTGAAACGGTGAACTGTATGTGTTTGCATTGAAGCGTTGCGCAAGTACGCCTAAGCTTGTGTAATGCAAGATTCTCTCTTAGTTTTCAGTCAACTCCGTCCATGTTTTCTATGTTAGTTGAGTATCTTGTTAGTTGGATTTCGCTGCGAAAATTCAGTCCTAGCGACAAGCAGGGGGTGCTGGACCGTGTTAATGAGATACTAAAGTGTTCCTCAGAATTGTGTATCTTAGTTGAGCTCCGAGGGTATACTTAGCTAATACAGTACTTGCTTTAATATCAATTTGCAGGTAAATCAAGTCTTGCAGTAATGTACGCACAGCACGCACTCGATGAATATGCACGACAAATGGCGTGTGGAGAACCCCATCAGACACGCATGTTTTTCGACCTTCTGTATAATCTTGGAGTTTGTAAACTTTTCTGTGGTAGCGCTAAGTCGGCTTTTGAAGATCTTGCCGGGTGCGTTCAGCTTATGGGTAGCAATCCACAAGTGTGGATGAGGTTGGCCGAGTGCGGCCTCGTTGAACACCATAAAGTGGCGAGCCAGGGTAGGAAAAAGATAGTAAATGCCCAGGTGGGCCAAAAAGTTCATGAAAGGATTCTTCTCGCAGAGCCGACAACGTTTCATAATGTCCATCAACAATTCTCAAATGAACAGCAAATGCGGCCTACATTAGATTTAGCTCTTCGGGCACTTAAGATTTGTCTAGCATTAATTGTCGAGTGTGAACTATCCCTGACAGCAATGGAAACCCCTGGTGACGGAACTCCTTGTGCCAGCTCATTACAGGAATTACGTCTCCTAAACAACAGCGCATTATGTGCTTCGGCGTATGCATCCCTCTGTATGGGTGACTTTGCGGCAGCTCAAGAGTTCTGCGAGATGCTGCTTATACAAGACCGGCTTTCAGGTGCTCAGAGAGTCCTAGCTCATCTATATTGCGCAGAAGCTTTGTTAATGCAAGATCAATTGTCCGAAGCTGTTGACCATCTAAGTCTTAATAATGCGGAACAACTAGCTGTTCTGCCTCCAAGCGGGGAAGCAAATGAAACTCAATGGGGCACTCAAATAAACATGGATTGGCTTCCACCTAGCAATAAGTGTGCTCGACTCATGTTTCAATACAATCTTGCTGTAGCTTTTGCTCTGCGAGAAGAATTACATAAAGCTGAGGAGGCACTTCGTCCGCTTTTGGAACAAACTGAAAAAACAGATGAGCCATTGGGTGAGCATGTATTATGGCTCGCAATTTACCTGAATTTACAACAAGGTCGACCCGATCAGGCCAAGCAGTTAATATACAAATGCCAACCTATCGTCCAATATGCCCGAGTACAATAGTCACCATTTTAGGTTCCCGCAGCAGTTCATTAGAACTTATACATGATAATAAATAAGATAATAATAATAACGTATTGGGGTGGGTTCCATGTATGTAAAAAAATGGCTGGTAACCGTTCAGAATGTTTGTTTTAATTAATAAAAGATTAAAACAGGTGTAATGAATACCCGTATCGTAAATTTTGTTGAAAGTGTTTAAACCAGTTGCTAGTCTGTGTAGATAATTCGACGTCACTGATAGTAAACGGTGATCGGTTAATTCAGAAGACAGAGCCTTCTGTGAAATGTACGTAAGCGGCGGGTTAGTGGGTGAAAAAATAAGACACGAAATCTTAGTTAGTCGTTGGAATATTTATTCGATATAATCTTTTTTAAACATAATGAATTTAAGTATGGATTCGTTTGACATTTAGGTACTCTCAATACAAGTATATATTACTAGACTTGAAATGGTTTTCCTGTGGTAAAATCCTAGAGATGTCTCCAAGTGTGATATATTTGACCAATCCATTGGACGCGCGGGAAAATTCATTTGCCTGGTACAATTAAAGGCACTGTTTCGACTTGTAACCGTATTCTGTGTCAAAGACCGTTTCCGAAACCGTAGGCAATCCATAACTCCAGAATTTTTGACGCTTTTTCCTAGCCTACAAAGATCAATTTTATCAGTTCCTATGGATACTTACACAATGCTTTGCCAGGAATGCTGCTCTAGGCTTCTCTTGACGAGGATGATCTTATTGAAAATTACGCACATAGCTAAAAAACAATAGCAAATTTCGTTCATAGTTTGAGACGCAGATTGTTTTTTAGTCCATCTGTTCACTTGTTTCTATTCAAACGGTCTCTTCAATAAAATAGTCTGTACTCCTTGTTGTCCTCCCGATAACTTCGTTAAATTTTATTCGATATAATGTTTGATAATTTCACCTTATCTAAGAAGCAGAAACAGAGGCTAACAACTTTACAAAATTTTTTAGTAAATTTGGATCAATATCTGTCTCAATTCATTAGTAATATCCCATATTAGGTTGTGTCTTATATCGCAACGGTACGCTCCTTATTGATAGAAGTTATTACTCATAGGCATTTACTGGATAAGTTTAGGATCCAGTATATGCCTGTCAGTCATAATCTTCACCAAGTCAGTTCTTGACATGCGCGTTTAGACAAGCCAATTTGACAGGACTAGCAACAAACACCACACAAATGTTTTGGTTTTTATATATTTCTTCTTAGGCATAAGTTTCTTTTTATCTTCTTAAAAATAAATTCAAACATATAGCTCCCTCCAGTAAAAAATAAACTGTGTTTGTTTACGTCCAACTTTGAACAATCTAATGTGCCCCTGTTTTTTGTAGACAAATACAAACAGCTGGTTGTATGATCGGTGCAGTAAAAAACGTACAGTTCAGATTTCTGTTTAAAGCGACGCTGTGCATAAATTTTTACTTATTTAGCTATTGATTTGTCGTATTGATCTATATAAACTGGGAGGCAGACAGATAGATGCGACAGGTTTCATGTAAATCCAGAGAGGGTATGTTGTTTTTTTCCTTCAATGGACAACGATACCCCAAGGAAACAAAGTATTTGAAAATAGTGTGCATTTAATTCTTTAGTTTTGTAAATATTTTTGCAAAAGCCGTCGTTATAGCGGATTGTCCTCCTAACTAGTTTCTCTCAACCCAAACGCCTGGGATCGAAATTTGGAATAGAACTTTTCCACCAAATGTATTTGGTGATGGTTACGATCCTGTTGTTGGTGCGATCTCGTAATATAAACGAAAGTTTATTAAGTAGGTTGACACGTTTTTGTCCGCCGAGTGCTTGCCACGGCTTATTTTTCACATTACTCAACTAAGAAGCTAATTACTATCGTTGATCGGATTCGTGAACTAAGCTTTTACAACTCGAAATAAATACTATTTAATGTATGTTGACCAGGAAAGTTGATGAAGATAACTGAAAGTGGAAACGCTAAGTCGTAGTTAACTGTCCTATTAAGGAGCTGATCTACATTCGCCTTTATGTTTTAAAAAATGCGGTACAAAATTTTATTTCGTGGTAAAGTCGTTAAAAGAAATCGATAAAAAATTTTGTTTCGTAAAATACAAAGCTTTTTGAATTGACTTGTTAAGAGAATGAACTCACCCGTCCCTTCATTCTAGCGCAGTTTAGAACGAGCTCCTCCAAGAGATATGAAATCATACTATTCTACTAGTCACTCTCCACTACTTTTCCTTTTGGACCTGGACTATGACTGATAAATAGTGTTATTATCGCAAGTTATATGCACAGACGCAGCAGCTCGCGCAGAGAAGACGAAAGGAAGATGTAAAAGTAAAAATTAGGACTTTAGAGTAATTAACCAGGCCTAAAACAAACTTTGAACCTTCCATGATCTACTCCAACCTTCCGGAACTCACTATCCAGGTCTTCTACTCTACCACTGTTGATACACGTAGAAAGGATCTCTCCACTTTTCTAGATGGCTGCTGCGGAGAATGAATGCTTTTCTGGAGATAGAAATAATCTACGTTTGAGAAAGTTGATATCAAATAGGATAGACCATAATATATGATAAAGTATGCGTAGCGTATATATTTAGTAGGTGCAAAACCGTGATGATACTCAAATTTCATTAAACATTTAACAGGAGGAAGTCCAGTTACTCTTACATTGTACAACGGTTTTGCACTCGACATTCTTGGCATAACGTTTGTTTCCCGATAGAAATAGCGCTTGTGTATAATTGACTCGTACCAGGGCTTTCTTAATTTAATAACAGGTACTGTGGAAGCCGAGTGAAATTACATAAAAAGGCTGGCTTTTGATAAGCAAATGTTAGAACACCCAACGATGCGTTAATAGGTGTCATATATTGATAGAATTTATTAGAGGAATTGAATGTCGCTCAGATATTACCTCGAATAAACCCTATATTTCTATAATTTAAAATTGAAATATTACACAATGATGTAATAGAAAATCTGTGTCATATATTTATACATTCCTACTGCGACTATATGCTAGTTCTGTGTAACTTCTAGTAAACCTGTTTCTCACTGTTCCTGTCTCCAGCGTGTTTTTATACTACTGAGTGCAATTGCCCCGTGCCATATTTTAAGCTTAAACGTGAGAAGCTTTTTTGCTTAGAGTTTTTATATCCTGGCCTAATGGCTGACCTAAATTAAGTCACCCAGACGTCCCAATAGAACCAGACAAACCAAAACCAATGACCTATAACTCCTTGGTCAAACCTTGTCAAAAGTCACCCAAAAATGATTGAACAATAAAGTATTTTACTATATCATTAATTACTGAATTATTCTTCTCGTAAATGAAAAACATTTTAGATTACAGAAACAGATTAAGCTCTAATGTAACCCATGTCAGACAGGCAAGTAGTAAAAGGAGAAAAAATGAACAAAATTACTTTGAAGATCAGCGAGCGAGTGGTAATTTTCTTAACAAGTGATATAACTAAAAGTGTATTTGCGCGTCATAATTCTCACAATCATCGGAAGTTCATGAAGCTTAAGGTAGGATATGCTTGTGTAGTATGTGAGTTATGACGTAAGGATCGTGGATATGGTTAAAGGTAAAGACATCACAGAAACCTCATTACGAATGGGCTAGACAGTTAGTTCTGTGGCTGAAGAAGTCAGGAACCGCTGGCAAGAACCGCCAACAAACATGAGTACTCGATTTGTACTCGAACTTTGTGCTGACTTTCTATGGTTACTTTAAAAATTAGAACTTGCATTTAAGTGTACTCCATATAAAATAATTTATTCTTTTTCATTGCTATCTATTGGCATTATACATTGGACGCATCTACTTGAAACATTCAAGGGTAGTACTTCATGTGTGAATCTATCTACAGAAATTGGTATTACCGATATAATTATATTTCACCTTGCGAATATTTTTGGAAAAAATATTCGCAAAGTCTTTAATAGACCGCTGACGTCGACAGGCCATGCTTTTTAAAAACTGACCCATGTGTAATCTTTACTTCTTTCTTTACTTAACACATCTTTAAAAGGGATACTAGTTTCTAAATGAAAGCAAATACGATTCTAATAACAGCGGCTAGTCCTCCAAAAATTTGTACTACTTTCAGACTACTATATAAGGCACCGTTTAAGACACAGCGAATTAAGAAAAACTATGTTCAAATAAGCTGCGATAGAATTTTAAAAAATAACACTTGATGTTTTTTGCGACAGGAATTTGTTCGGTTTAACACTATATCACCCCTCCTATTCACAATTTCCATCGCAAATGTTTTCCCTTTAAACAAAAAAAAATGTAATGTCATAGACGCGACGCAAGTGACATGCAGTAAACAGCCTAGCTCCTTTTAGGCAGTTAAATATGTGTAGCACGAAGCTGCGTCCTTTACTGAAATCGGCCTAACAACTAAAACGAGCTATTAATTACAAACAAGTACGAATAATTTAAAAATGAAAATAAGCTTGAAATATGAAAGTGCAAATTTCCGACTCTGTCGACGTCAGTAACTTTACGCGTAGGATTAGTAAAAAACTTAACTGAAATATTGTAAACGTAATTAAAAAAATAAAACACCGAAATGATGTTCTATCTAACCTGCGAAATTCTTTGCTGTATCTGATATTTGCAATATTGACTCTCTACTTCGTTTCCGTGCCGCAGATGGCAGGTCTATAGTTTATCAAATGCTTTCAAACGCCTAACACTACGCTTCTAAGTCAACTAGACGAATATCTATGCGTTTATTGTTGAATATATTTTTTCTTGTAGCTAGCTTTATGTGCAGACCTGGGCACTATTAATTGCAATCGGATGCATTTTTGTTCCTCGATGTTGTCGCTTTTGATTACAAGGCACCTTAACGCGGACCACCAACTACCCATTCTTCTATCTACCGTCTTATCTACTTACCGCCATGTTCCATCATTAGTGCTTCTTATTGTTACTGGAAGACCGCTTGATCTATATATTATCGTCATCAAGTTCGCTGTGTGATAATCTAATCTACACTCTAGACGCTTACTCGATAGCGGCGGAAATAGATGAGATAAATATAGGAGTGCGTTTAAACGTCTCGTAGCG